ATTTAGCACATGGCCAAAATGTAGTTGACATGACATGACTAGTGCAGGGCTCTTCATACAATGATGCAGGACCTGAATTTTAGTATGGGGAAGTTATGGGGAAGAAGCTTTAAGGTATCAGAGTAAGGGCATGTGAGCAGACAGGCAGTAGGCTACCTGGGTTACTTGATGAGCTAGATCTAGCTTACACAGCTTTTCCAAACAACACAGTTCTCAAAAAAACACCACTAAACCCAACAATACCCCACTATTAGTAGCATACAAAGACTGGATTGAAGAACAGCAATTAAGAGTGAAGCCCTTCTGGAATACCCAAAGACATGTGCATATCCAAGTATTGAATAACACAGACATTTACTCCATCTTTCATTTCAAATCCTCATAACACATGAGCCTGTAAAACACTTGATCCCATGTAAAACAAAAGCACTCGGAAAGACTACTGTAGCTAGTGAATAATGTCTTTTAAGGCCTTGAAATGAAAATCAATACTACTATGAATAAAAATCAATAAAAATGTGAAGAATATAGATATATGTGTGGGCACGTATAATTTGCATTAAAAAAACCCCAAACCAAACAAAAAAACCAAACAACCAAAAACACCAGAACTTTCAATCATCAATCATAACATCTGTCAGAATTCTTGGAAGCATTACGTTGTGTATTGATTTAAGTGACCAAACTGTATCTATCTTGCATTGAAGGCTATTTCAGCAGAAGCAGCACCTACTACTAACTCTTACAGAGGACTTGCATTGCTTTTCTGCTACCAAAAACCTACTCTACATATACACTGACCTAATCTGAAGGCTGATACATTACATAAATTCAGCCGAGATACTACAGAGGTCTAAGCACTACCCTTTGCTCAACCAAGTTACAGAACAGCAAAGAAAGCGGTGTCAGAACTGAGGCGATAATACACATTTCAGGTTCAGCGTGATTCTGAAAGGCTTGTCTATACTTTTTATGTCAGCTACAGTTCCTAAATATTTTTGTTTCAGGAAGCTTACAAAGTGAATGGTCTAAACTAAACTGAACAGACTGTTTTGCTAATTATATTGTTACTACTAAGTTACAGTATTGTTATATTTATTAACTTTATGGTACTGATAGTAATAGTTACTAGCACAATGAAGGAGCACTGCTCAAACAGTGAGTAAATGCAGCTTATTTGACTTCTAGTACCTACTGTTAGGTGCTCTGGCTAATTAAGCCTCTGAAAGGATTGCTCAGAAAAGGAACACAGTAATTGCCCTCAAAAGCCTCTGCTGACTGTAACATGCCTATGTTTAGACAGCGCGCATATACCACTTTGCAGATGAGCCAAATTTATCCGTTAGGATTTCATTCTCTTTTCACATGAAGGAAAAGAAAAATGTTTCGGCAACCACTGAAAGACTGTATTTTTATTCTCAAAGTAATGGATAAGTACACTGAAAGAAATGTAGGAATTAAAACTTGTCGCCTAATACAAACAGCAGTTCTGCACCATTCAAGAAACTAGTCCATGTGGCTCCTCTGTCATATGCCGCTGTCCCTGATGTGTATGGTGAATGGGATTATTTTGGAAATTAAGTTTTAAAAGTTCTTAGGTCACAGCCTTGCAAAGACTTATGTAAGATACGCTGTCAATCAGCCTGTAGGATTTTGAGTATTCACAGTATTTAAATCAAGAGTGGCTCTATGATAAACAGGAACATAAAGACTTCAGCAACACACATAGAAGAAGAAGAAAGGAGTTGCGCTATTAACATTTTGTTCCTCCTTAGGGAACCTTCTTGTCCGGGTTTCTTGGAGGACCTCATTCTATCTAAATGGCATTCTCTAGGAATCAGCTACTGGTGAAGCAGTCAAGCCAAGGTTAAAAGGGATACAAGGACACTGAAGATTACTGTGCATAGATTTTTAAATACGATGCACCTGCTATGATGTGGAACCTCCCCACAACAGTAGGGTTTGGGAGTGCTCCAGCTGGCAGGACACAAAATTGAAGCTGAATGCACATTTCCCACTTCCTGGTTGAGTGCTAAACCAACTAAATAGTTTATATGAGGTGACAAAAAATGGTAGCTCCTCATTGATTATGATTTGGATTCTTCCTTTGGAAAAGAGTCTCTCTCAAATTCCCTGTTTGTCTATCTCTCAGTTTGCCATCACTACTAGTAATTTTGAACTAGATGTCCAGTTTCAACCAAATTTTACAGAAAAATGCAAGTATTAAAAAGAGAAAATTAAAAAAATAACACTTTCTTAACTTGTCAGCTACACACAGAATGGTAGTAAGAACTCAATCTCCTATATATTGTAAGATGTTGCAGACAAGAAGCATATGTAGCCTGTGTAATGAGCTAACATGCTAAGCTTTTGAACAGCCATTGTACAGAACTGTCATTTACAACGCTAATACAGAATGAGACTGGAAAACATGGAATACATTTTGTATATTAACAAAATTCTGCCAAACATACCCAACAGCTAATGTCTTTTCTGAACAAAGTAGTACAGTTTGACTTGCATAAGCAAGATTATGTTCTTCAACATTTAAGTGTTTAGGATAGACTTTTCAATAATCTTGATACCAGCAAAAATCACAGAACATTAAGCAATCACTGGAGAGGCAACAGAAGCTCATGAAACTGTTACAAGACAGTAAAACATTTATTTTTAATGACTGACTTAAAATGAAAGTTTCTAAAAACCAGCAAATTCATTTTTCAAAGTTACTTTCAAAACAAGAACATAAAACATTACTGTTTTAATCAGTATTAATTAATGTATCTTAAATGCAACATTTGTCATTACAAAAGTCTTTAAACTTAGGCCAAGCATTTTGCAATGCAAGTGCTGAGACGTAACAAGCATCGATATCTGCATGTAAATCAGGTCCTTAAGTCATTGCCCCCACAGCATCCTGACTCCATCTGCATTCTGCTTTAAAACATTGCTACATTTGGACAGTACTATCAGATCAGAACAGAGCTTCCTGTCTTCTCAGGACTTCTAATATCAGGTGCTGGCAATTTTGCAACATTACTTTCAAAATCTAGTGAAGTATCTTAGAAAATTCTCTGTAGGAAAAAAAAAGTGCAAGATGACGGCTTCAGTTTCTTTGTTCAAACAGCTTGAAATTGGGAAATATAAGTCATAGCACTGTGTATTCTTGTACACCTAAAATACTTCAGGGAATTTCTCTCAAGAGGTGCTTCTCTCTTTTAATCTTACATTTCTCCCTTGTGAAAATTGTAATTCTCCTATTTTTCAGTTTAAAAAATACACTTGGTTTATCTATTAAATATCACTCTTCACATAAGAGAACTTTCAGGAAATTACTTCCAAATCCAAAGGACCTATTTATTTGTAGGGGGAGACAAGAGCTTCTGGTAAATAATGACAGAACAGCATGTGCGAGTTATCACAATGCCTTTATTTATTGGAAAACTGATTAGAATTTTTCCAACACATATACGTTACAGTTTACTTGAGAAGAAGCATCTAGAATGAATCGCCACAAATCAATTTTCTATCTCTTGAAAGCAGACTGTTATTTACTAACTGGCTAAGTGCAGGAAAAGACTCTTATCAGAACAAAGATTTATATACTTCACATGCCCATTTGAAAGAAGATGGCCACAGTGTCTCCTAGTTGAAGAGGAACAAAAAGAGGACTAGAGAAAGCTTAAACCACTCTGGAACCACTAGAAGATTTCCAAGAAGGAGCAGCTATAAAAGCTCAGCTATTCCACAGGGGAGAGACGCATAAGAAAAGGCTCAAACTTTTAGCTACCAGTTTGTCAGGAAATGACGGTAAGCGTGCACAGTGCTGGAAGGAGACTTTTTTTTTAAATGCAAGCAGACTGAAACAGATTCTTTGATTTCTTTACCTAAGTCTTTCACAAGCTCTTGCAACAACTGTGTTGCCTGTTCAGATGTTACAAGTAAGTGCTTGCATTACCAGTTTTACTTATCGGGTTTAAATCAAACATAATCTAAGGGAATCATAACGAGCAAGCATTTCTCACTCATCTGTCAGACGCATCTGTAAGCCGAACAAGTGGCCCACCTATATCCACAGGATCACAAATCAGGGGCTCTATTCTAACCGCCCCAGCCCCTCAGTGGCAGGCTTCAGCAAGGGTTCCCCCTTCTAAATGAATAAAATATGCACTTTATATTCTTCAAAAACTTGAAATTTACCAGTTGTTTTGGGGCT